TGCACTTCGACCGCAGTGTTTCCCGCGCGTGCCAACGTTGAGTTGGGGGGAGGGGAAGTGTTCAGTAATTGTTTCCCTCTACCGTAGCTAGACCCCTGGGGGGCAGGGGCGAGGGCGAAGGGAGGGCAGGGAGCACATGTGAGCCCAAGTAGACAAGCGCGTTCCACGAATCGCAGAATAACTACTCGCGAGCGGCCTCGATCCGCCGCGGGGGATCTACGATATATCACATCGGGGCAGACGGATAAGTTTCTGACATTTGCGAGCCGTGCGGCGCGCTCGGTGTTAATGGTCGGGTGCGAAGGGCAGGCGGAGGATCGAGAGGCAGAGCAACGCGCAAGGATCCCAAGCATCCCCCTCTACACTGGAGGCCAGTCCACAGGAAACATTCCACAAAAAACCCAACCCTGAGCCCCCAGGACGTACATTGATGTATGGTGTGGGGACGTCGCGCTTTCCATGGCAAAACCATCGAAACCCGAGAAACCCAGGGAACCCTGGAGGCAAGCAGGGTGTTTCTTGGCATGGACCCCCTCTGTACTCGCGGCGGCGAGCCCCGGGGGTGAAGTGAGAAGGAGAAGGCCTTTTCTGAGGGCTCGGAAGTCCCCTGGCCTTCCGCGAACTTTGCTAAGCCTTCCCCGAAGGCACAGAACACCGCTCAGAAGGCAGGAGGCCTCCTGGGAGGCCCCGCCGCTTTCTGAGGAGGCCTTCTCCTTCTCACCCCCCCCCCCTCGCTCGCAGCCTATCTATAATCCCACCCCAGGGGCCACAAGCCAGAGATCGGACTCCCCCCCCACGGCCCGGCCCCCCCGCCAGGTGAGCTCCCCAGGTGGCCTCTGGACTCCTCCCAGGGCGCGGGGGCGGGGGCCACGACTCTCCATGGCGGCTCTGGGGCCCCCCAGAAGATCCAAAGACGGCCCACGAGAGACGGTTGAGGAACGCATTCATGGCACGCACGATTGCATCAAGACGAAGCAAGGATCCCCGAGACGCCCCAAGAGAGCCCCAAGAGCAAGTCCAAGGCAAGTCCAAGAGGGCCTGGAGAAATCAAGATTGGTGATTTACTGTTTGTTTTTCTTGGCCAGTGTCAATATCGTCTTCTCGGCCTTCCGACACTCCAAGACGGCCCAAGAGGCCACCCACATCACGCCAAGACGGCACAAGAAGCCCCTGAGAGTGCCCCAAGACGGCCCAAGCAGGCCCCAACACGGCACAAGAAGACTCCCAGACAATCCAAGAGGGCCACTGGAGGGAACCACAACCTGCCACTTCGAGCCCACCAACCAAAAAGGATCCCCGAGAACGCCAAAAGGTGCCCTCGAAGTGCCCACCAGGCCCCAGGATACCCCCGAGAGGCCTAAAAGAGATTCCCGAACACCTCTGGACGGCCTCAAGAGGCCTCAGCCCTGCTGCCAAGAGGCCCCCGAAAGCCCTCCCAAAATACACCAACAGTCATCCAACAAGCTCCTAACCCATAACCCAGGCACTGTAACGGCTTGGGCCGAAGGCTACGGAATAGACCCCCTATCCTCCAGTGCCTGATTCTCCCCCTCGTCAGTTTCCCGTGTCCCTTATTATGCCTCCTCTTCCTCCTTACTTCCTCATCGAGCTGCGCCTCATCCTCATTCTATTCGTAATGTTTCGCTTCCTCCTTCGCACCGCATCCGTAGTACCAGCCTCTTCTTCCCCTCTTCCTTCCTGCTCCTCCTGCTCCTCCTGCTCCTCCTGCTCCTCCTCCTCCTCCTCCTCCTCCTCCTCCTCCTCCTCCTCCTCCTCCTCATCATCATCATCATCATCATCATCATCATCATCATCATCATCATCAGCAGCAGCAGCAGCAGCAACATCATCATCATCATCATCATCATCATCATCATCATCATCATCATGCATCATGCATCATCATCATCATCATCATCAGCATCAGCATCAGCACATCAACATCCAGTCATCATCATCATCAGCAGCATCATCAACATCATCATCATCATCACCATCATCATCATCATGTCAATTCACATTCAACATCATCATCGTCATCGTCATCGTCATCGTCATCATCATCATCATCATCATCAGCATCAACAGCATCATCATCATCAACATCATCATCAGCATCATCATCATCATCAGCATCAGCATCATCACCATCATCATCATCATCATCAGCATCATCATATTCTTCATCATCATCATCATCATCATCGTCATCACCATATTATCATCATCATCATCAGCATCAGCATCAGCATCAGTATCAGCATCAGCATCATCATCATCAGCATCATCACCACCACCATCATCGTCATCATCATCAGCATCATCATCATCGTCGCCATCATCATCATCAGCAGCAGCATCATCATCAGCGTCATCATCAGCATCAGCATCATCATCAGCATCAGCATCATCATCAGCAGCATCATCAGCATCATCATCACCATCATCATCAGCATCATCACCATCATCATCATCAGCAGCATCATCATCAGCAGCATCATCATCATCAGCATCATCAGCATCATCATCACCATCATCAGCAGCAGCATCATCATCAGCAGCATCATCATCAACATCATCATCAGCATCATCATCATCCGTCCCCCTCATCCTCCAACTCCTCAACCCCCTTCCTTATGAATCCGCCGACGCTGTCGGCGTGTGTGAGACGGTTTTCTGTTTGAGTCGCCGTCGGCACTCATACCCTCTCCATGCGCCCTCCTCCTCAAGCGACCCAGCCAAACGAAAATCGAACAACGCCGTAATCGACTGAAAGTGAAGCCCCTTCCCTTTGATCCGTTCCCCACGCCGAGAGGGGGGAGGGCCCAGGGGGGGGGCCGTCTTCCCCCCAGAGGGGGGAAGACGGCCCAAAGGAGCGCCACAAACACATATCGAGTCGAAGGGACAACCCGTGATCCCTTCCCCGCCAGGGGGGATTCCCACGAGGGGATCGCTGGGGGCGATCCCATGGGTTGTCCCGGGAGGGGTACCGAGGCCAACAAGGCCCCCCCACGAGGGCTCGCGAGCGTCGTCGTCGCCGCCGTCGTCTTCGTCGTCCTCCGTCAGGGTCGGCGACACCGGCCGTAAGGCCAACGCATGAGCTCCTCCCTGTCGCACCCGCAAACATGTCAGCATGGCGGCCAGGCGTCTCGCCACAGACTTTCTCACCATGTGTGATCCTGACGCTCGGGAATTTGCAACAGCTGCATGGATGGAAGGAAGACCGTTTTCAATATATGGCTTTAGCCTTAGCGCCACGCACAGTGGTCCTGAAAGTCTGCAGCAGCTTCAAGGGTGAAGGGCAGGCCAACATAAAAATGTGGCTCTCGTCTCCGCACCGCGTACATCATCATCATCATCATCATCATCATCATCATCATCATCATCATCATCATCATCATCATCATCATCATCATCATCATCATCATCATCATCAGCATCAGCATCATCATCATCATCATCATCATCATCATCATCATCACCATCACCATCATCATCATCAGCAGCAGCATCAGCATCATCATCAGCAGTAGCAACAGCATCATCATCAGCAGCATCATCATCACCATCATCATCATCAGCATCATCAGCATCATCATCCTCATCCCCATCCTCAGCAGCAGCAGCATCATCATCATCAGCAGCATCATCATCAGCATCAGCATCATCATCATCATCAGCAGCAGCATCATCAGCAGCATCAGCATCATCATCAGCAGCAGCAACATCATCATCATCAGCAGCATCATCATCACCATCATCATCATCATCATCAGCATCAGCAGCAGCATCAGAATCATCATCATCATCAGCAGCAGCATCATCATCAGGTTCCTCCTCCTGCTCCTCCTCCTCCTCCTGCATCCATCCCGCTCCCACAACCCGATGGGCCGCCGAGGGGCCGCCAGCGAGGGCCGCCGAGGGGCCCCCCCTTCCCCGCCCGCAGCGCTCCGGCGCGCGAAGGGGGCGCGCCGTTCGGGGGGGGGGGGACAATCTGGCGCGCCCGCCCCCCCGCCCGCTGCGGAGCCGAAGGGGAACAGCGCGGCCGCGCGGCTCTCCGTCGTCGTCGTCGTCGTCGTCGTCGTCGTCGTCGTCGTCGGCCATCCGACCCGCGTGGTAGACGACGGCGGCGACGACCACGCTGCGTTGGGGAGGGGGCCGTTGGTGGTCGTCGGTCGTCGTAGAGCACTCCAGAGCCTGACGATGCCGCGGCCGCTAATGAGGACGACGACGGCAGCGACTCGTCACCGTCTTCCTCCTTCTCAAGAGCCAAGGCGTCAGGCTGGAGTGCTCTGCGGCACAAAAAACTATCCTCCTAATGCTCCTCCTCCTCCTCCTCCTCCTCCTCCTCCTCTTCCTCCTCCTGTTTCTCCTCCTCATCCTCCTCCTCGTCCTCCTCCTCCTCCTCCTCCTCCTCCTCCACCTCCTCCTGTTTCTCCTCCTCATCCTCCTTATCCTCCTCCTCCTTGTCCTCCCCCTCCTCCTCCTCCTCCTCCTCCTCCTCCTCCTCCTCCTCATCTTCCTCCTCCTCCTCCCCTCGTCCTCCTGATTCTCCTCCTCCGTACTGCTCCTCCTCCCTACTCTCCTCCTCCCTCGTACTTGTCCTCCTCTTCTCCTCCCCTCCTCCTCCTCCTCCTCCTCCTCCTCCTCCGCCTCCGCCTCATCCTCCTCTTCCCCGTCCTCCTCCTCCTCCTCATCATCATCCTCCTCATCCTCCTTCTCCTCCTCCCTACTCCTCCCCCCTTCCTCCCCCTCCTCCCGCCGCCCCTCTTCCCTTCGCTGCCCCTCCCCCTCCTCTCCTTATCCCGCCGCCGACGCGGCTCCGCCAGCGATGCCGACGCCGACGCCCGGGGGGCGAGGAGCGCGAAAGTCGGGAAGCAGGGATCGACGTGCTTGGGCGTTGTTTGGTGTCTCTTTCTCCGCAGTTTCCAAAGCAGCAGGACCATCACGTGGGCACCGCTCTCGTGAGTCGCCCGGCTTCCTGACTGTGGCAGAGTGCAGCGCTGTTTCCTCCCGCGGAAAGAACGCCTCCAGCGCACTGCATCCTCAAAGAGAGATGTTCGGGAGTTGCTGAGGGTGTCCCTGGCCGAAGGCGCCCCTAGCCTTTCGCTCCAGTTTGGAGCCCCTCGGGCCCCCTGGGTCTCGCGAGGAGTGCCCTGGAGGCCGTGGGGGCCTCCCTGGAAATCCTGAGGGTACCTTGGGCCAGGGGCACTTCTACCAACACCCGAGCCGTGGCCTGGACCGAGCTGCAGCCGGCCGCGCTGAAACATGGGGGGCCACAGCGACTCGGCGCGGTGACGGGAACGAAGGTGCCCTCGGAGGGGAGGGGGTGGATGCCAGGACCGCCAGCGCCGCCAAGGAGGGAGCGTCAGGGATTGGGCAGGAGGTGCCGAGGAGAGGATGGGGACGCCAACAACGACGACGAGAACGAAGAGGAGAACGAAGAAAGAGAAGAGCAAAGAGGACGGCGATATGGAGGAGGACGGGCTGAGGGTTAGAGCAGAAGGAGCTGAGTGGAGACGCTCGAGACCAATATGTGTCAACCCCCTGCTGCCGCTCCTCCTCGCCCTCCTGCTCAGGCTCTTCCTCCTCCTCCTCTTCCTCTTCCTCCTCTTCCTCCTCTTCTCTTTCTTCTTCTTCTTATTATTCTTCTTCCTCCTCCTCCTTGATACAAGACCGCTTCCCCAGGAACCCTTTCCCCGTAACCGCTTCCCCAGAACCGTTTCCCCTGCAGAGGGCCGTTTCCCCGGAGGCCTCTTCCCCGGAGACCCTTTCCCCTGAGGACCGTTTCCCTGGAACTGTCTCCCCGGAACCGCTTCCCCAAAACTGTTCTCCAAGAACCGCATCCCCGGATGCGCTTGCTCGGAGCAATTTCCCCAGGACCGCTTGCTCGGAACCGTTTCCCTGGATCCTCTTCCCTGCAAGGAACCGTTTCCTCTGTGCACCTTCCTCCCCGAACCGTTTCTCCAGACACCGCGTCCCCAGTAATTACAACTTCTCAAGGGAGGACAAGAGAGGAATGAGGGAGGGATGAGCGATGAGGGAAGGAGGAATGAGGGAGGGAGGGAGGGAGGGAGAAAGGATGAGAGAGGCGGGAGGGAGGGACGAAGGAGGAGAGAGGGAGGGAGGGATGAGGAAGGGATGAGAGAGGGAGGTGAGGATTAGGGTGAAGAAGGGATAGATGGGGGCCGAGTGAAGGAGGGATGAGGGAGGGAGGGCGGAAGGATGAGGAATGAGGGATGAAGAGAATTAGGGGGTACGAGGGATGAGGGAAGACGGAGGCAGGAGGAGGATGAGGAGGAGGAGGAGGAGACGGAGGAGGCGGAGGAATCGTCAGCTGGAACGGCCCAGAAGAACCACCCTGTACTTGCGGCAAGATGTGCAAGTGCTACTAAAAACAAGAGATGTCTCGGGGAAGCGGGCCAAACCAAATCTCATCACCTCAAGTGCGGACATCTCTGAGCCCAGAGTTGGAGGGACGAGGGAGGGAGGGATGAGAGATGAGAAGAAGTAGCATAGATGAGTGATGAGGGACCCGTCGGGCGGGCGGTCCCTACGGGTGGGTCGGGTCGGTCGGGCTGGACTCTAACGGGCAGGTCGGGTCGGGCGAGCGGGACATCGACACATTGCGCATCATCGAGCTGGCACGCCTAACGGGCGGGTCGGGTCGGGCGGGCGGGCGGACCCTAACGGGCGGGTCGGGTCGGGTCGGGAGGGCGGGACATTTCGGCATGATGCATCATCGAGTTGGCACGCGAGTACCCTAGCGGGCGAGACGGGTCGGGCGGGCGGCGGACCCTAACGGGCGGGACGATCGGGTCGGGCGGGCGGGCGGACCCTAATGGGCGGATCGGGTCGGGTCGGGCGGGCGGACCCTAACGCGGGCGGGTCGGTCGGGTCGGGCGGGCGGGACATTCAAGTATGGCGCATAGTCGAGGTGGACGCGAATATCCTAACGGGCGGGTCGGGTCCGGCGGGCGGCGAACCCCAATGGGCTGGACGGGTCGGGTCGGCCGGGAACCCTAACGGGTCGGGTCGGGCGGGCGGGACATTCAAGTATGATGCATCATCGAAATGGCACGCGAATACCCTAACGGGCGGGTCGGGTCCAGCAAAGCCGAACGGGCGGGACGGGTCGGTTCGGGCGGGCGGAACCCAACGGGCGGGTCGGGTCGGGTCGGGCGGGCGGGACATTAAAGCATGATGCATCATCGACTTGGCACGCGAAAACCCTAACGGGCGGGACGGGTTCGGCGAGCGGGCGGACCCTGACGGGAGGGACGGGTCGGTTCGGGCGGGCGGAACCTGCGGGTCGGGTCGTGTCGGGCGGGCGGGACATTACAGCATGATGCATCCTCGACTTGGCACGCGAATACCCTAACGGGAGTCGGGTCCGGCGGGCGGGTGGGCCCTCACGAGCGGCCCGGGCCGGGTCGGGCGGGTGGACCCTAACGGGAGGGTCGGGTCGGGTCGGGCGGGCGGGGCACTAAATACCATCGACTTTGCACGCGAGTACCCTAACGGGCGGGAGAGGCCATGCGAGCGGGCGGACTATGACGGGCGAGGCGGGTCGGGTCGGGCGGGCGGACCCCAACGGTCGGGTCGGGTCGGGTCGGGCGGGCGGGACATCAAAGTATGATGCATCATCGAGTCGGCACGCGAGTACCCTAACAGGCGGGACGGGTCGGGCGGACCCTAACAGGCGTGACGGGTCGGGTCTGGCGGGCGGGACATGAAAGTATTGCGCATCATCGCGTTGGCACGCGAATGCACTGACGGGCGGGTCGGGACGGGCGGGCGGGCGGGTGCCGGAGCACCCGGCTCGAGTGCCTGGCCTGGAGCACCGCGAGTACCCAGAGTGCCTAGAGTGTCTGGAGCGCCAGTGGACCGATCTGGTCCTGTGGAACCAGTCCTGCGGAACCTGGCCTGTGGAACTGGTCCTGCGGAACTGGGCCTGTAGAACCAATTCTGTGGAACTGGTCCTGTGGAACTGGTCCTGTCGAACCGGTTCCACGGGACCGGTTCTGCGGAACCGGTCCTGTTGAACTGGTCTTCGTTGAACCGAACTTTGCTGAACCTGTCGTCTTTTGAACTGGTGTCTGTTGAACTGGGCGTCTGTTGAACCGGTCCATGTTGAACTGGTCGTCTGTTGAACCAGTCTTCTGCCTCCTTCATCCGTCTTATTTAGAAACAACTCACACCTATCGCACAAGGAGCCATATCGGTAGGGCCTGGCGGGCGATTCGCCTGAGATGTCGTTTTCCTCGACGGCCTGAACCTTTCAAACTTTCAAACAGTTCAGCTAGTAAAAGACAAACCGTTTTCAAACAGGGGATCTCGCCTTACACCGCGCACACTCGTCTCGAAAACCTACCAGCACCAACAGTTACGTGGACGGAGAGCGAGTCGTTTTCGGAATAGGTCTCTCACCTTCCTGCGCCGCGAACGCTCGTCTTGAAAAACAGCACAAGAGCTACATGCCGCCACGCTGGTTCCGGGCAGGCTGTGCTGTCCGGCGGAAGAGGGCGAGGAGGGGAGAAGCAGGTAGACGATGACGAACGCCCAGGCGGGAGGCCAGGGCCGGCGGGGCGGGCGGGCAGGCAGAAGACGGGCCAGGCGGAGACGGCAGGCAGGGAGCAGGAGGAAAGGAAAGGGAGGGAAGCAACGAGCAGAAGCGAAGGGAGGAGGGTGGGCGTTGTGCTTTTCATGTGACTGCCGCCTTGGCGCCGCGCACACTCCTCTTTGCAGATCCGGTCGCACGGATGGAGTGCCAATCTTTGAGGCTCTCGCATCTTGGCGCCGCGCACGCTCGTCTTACATATTTCCAGCGGCTCCACGATTGGAGCGAGGCTTCTTCTTTAAAACGGGTTCGGTGGGGTGGTCGGTCAACGTCTCGCCGCTCGTCCTCTCAGGAGAGCGTTCTCTGCTTTTTCCAGACATCGGCCGTTACCAGCCGTGGCGGCCCCCCTCCCAGGTGATGTCAGGATCCGTGCTGACCTCCGAACTGCCTTTGGCCATTTCTGGGCATTCCCAGACGGCGCTGCCGCGAAACGTGACAGTACCGCCCCTCCCCTCGACATCGCCCGCTGTCGCACGCGAACACATGGCACGCACGCCCTGGCCCTTGCACGAGGGAGAGCGCGGGCCAGGCGGGGCGGGGTGGGGCCGGGCGGGTTCTCGGGGCCATCCTGGTGTTCTCCTGGGCCCAGCATTGCCATCGCAAGGAGGCAAGGGCATAGGGGGAGGAGGAGGAGGAGGAGGAGGAGGAGGAGGAGGAGGAGGAGGAGGAGGAGGAGGAGGAGGAGGCGGAGGCGGAGGCGGAGGAGGAGGAGGGAGGAGGAGGAGGAGGAGGAGGCATGGGGTGGGCGACGAGCGAACGAACGAAGGACGACGACGAGAATCGAGAGTGCTACGAGCTCCAGAACACACTGTGCGAGGGAGTGCGGCCAGACATAGGACATACGAAGAACACCCTTCAAGAACATGAGACCCTCCGCTGGACAAAAACAACCCAAACCACAAGATCACCGAGGGTACCCTCCCTCCACGATATTGAAGAGCATCCAACAGACACGAAAAACACTAGAGCACCCTCCCCGAACCGACCTCGATCTTATACCTCGGTCCGGCCGTAGAGAATAACGCTCAACAGAAAGCCACCCCCCCTTGCACCACCCCCAAGCGGCGCGCCCCCAACCCCCTCCCCGAGATCCGCGCGGCCCCGCGCGCCGCGCGCGAGCGCGCGCACGGGCGATCTTGGAGGCCTGGAAACTGGCAACAACACCAACGCAGAGCAAGACGAAGCCAGGAAGACGAAGCCAGGACGAGGCCAATTCCGGGTGAGGATAACCTGGCGGCTCTGGAGGACGTATCGGGCGCCGTGGTCTTCTCAAAGCGATCTGGGACGCTATAAGATCGCTCCAGAACGTTCTGGAACGGATAGATTATCGTCTCAGCCCCGTCCGGCAAAGCGTTGCCTCTACAATGGGAGGATGATCCTGGATTCTGGCGCTGGTGGTGATCGTCGGGCCACCTGAGAACCCCGAACATGACCACCATCGCCGAGATCGGAATCATCCTCCCCTGGGGCAGGTGACCGTCGATATTGGTGATGGTGCCAACTTCTAGGCCTCCGACGATCGATGGCTTCAAAATCGCGCTCAAAACAAAAAACGGCCGCGGCCCCCCAGAACGGAACGGTGGACGGGAGGGCCGCAGCAGTGACGCGGGCGGAGTGGGCAGCGGCGGCGCTGGCGCTGCAGTGGCGCTCCTCCCGCGGAAGGACTCCCCACACACGCCTGGGGCGATCTCACGCAGCCTCGGCGACGAGGCTGCGGTCCGCTCATCGGGGGGGCCTCGCCGCCGTCACGCACGAGCGCGGGGGGGAGGAGGGGCGCGAGATGCGAGGTCTTCTCCCCTCCTGTTCCTCCTGCTCCTCCTGCTGCCCCGCCGTATCCGCTTCTTCCTCCTACCCCCCGACTCATCCCCCTCCTCCTCCGCCGCCCTCCCCCCACTCCTCCTCCTCCTCCTCCTCCTCCTCCTCCTCCTCCTCCTCCTCCTCCCCCTCCTCCTACTACTCTGCATTCACCTCTTACTCTTCCTGATCCTCCCCTGCTACTACTACTACTACTACTACTACTACTACTACTACTACTACTACTACTACTACTACTACTAC